TCGTGCTGTGCAAAAAGAAATCCGAGAAATCAGACAAATTGCTCGTTACCCCGAAACGTCGTCGAGCGCGTAACATTTCACGTCATTTCCGACGTGGGACAAGAGGGGCGCATAATTTAACATGTTGGAAATGTTACAATAGGCGAATCGGAAAAGGGAGGAGGGGGGGGGAGACGGGGTGGCCGGAGGAGATTGCCACGAGCGGGGGAGAGGGGGGAGGAGGGGATTAAATTCGTCTCGGTGCGTTCTACTCGCCCCAACTTTCCGGGATAAACAACTCGTGTGCGCCTCGCGCGAGCACACGTGCGCACGAGCGCACGATTCTCTCTCTCTCCGTTTCGCGGCTTGAATTCCATCAAGGCGCAATTAGCATACAGCAACGGAGTGCCGTGTGTGACGTGTAAGAGGCGCCGAATGGACCGCGGCGGTGTCGCGGATAATTTTCGCGGTGCGACGTATGGGCAATCGCGTCGTGTCGAAACTTCGGCCAGTTGCGAAGTTATATTAAACGTTCCCAGTTCCCGGGGTGGGCGGCATATTCATATGTTCCGCCTCCCTCCCTCCCCCCCCCCCGTTGACGTCGCGGACATCGCGCCCTTTGTAGCGGCGAGTGCCAGTTTCGCGCCAGTTGTTATTATTTGTGATCCGGTATATGTCGCTTTATACTGCGAAATTATCCCGCGGGATGGAAGGGGGGAAAGGATGGAAGTGGGAAGAAGGAGGAGACGTGCGAAGGAAGGGAGAAAAGATGTAGTGAGGGAGAAAAAATTAGGGGGTTGCCACAACAGAATAATAATTTTTTACCTATCTATATATATAAAAGAGTTACAGGAGTTACATAAGTACTCTGGAAGTTATCTATATGGTTGTTACAATCGCAATGGTTATTTCCAACTCCTGTAAACTAATAGTAACTTAAAAATAATTTTTAAAATTTTATTCTGGATGTTAGCTTTGATGAAAATAAGGAATGGAACTCTCGGATTCTACGCTTTGAAGATAAAGCTTTTGCAAACTTTATTCCATAGCTATCCACGATCGTATCAACAATAATGTGCACGATAAACATCACAATATGACTTTATTTTATATGAAAATTCTTCGCAAGTTGGTGGTGATCTATTTTGTAACTGTAATGGAACTGAATTCTCAGTGTGCTGTACCCTACAAATATCTCGTATAGATCTCTCAATTATACTATTTGTTCTGCAGACCACATTAGAAAGGGAACAATAATTCTTCGGTTAAGGCAACCGTATTACGATATAATATTATCAGAACCGTATAAATAAACATATCTTAACAGTTCAATATAATATAAACAGTTCGATATAACTTGAATCCAATCCACACATGTCTCTTTTTCAATCATAAAAAATATTGTTGCAGCAATGCCAACTTTTTGCACGTACGTTATCAGTTATAGAATGCATGTCCAATTTCTACAAAATGGATAAAGAAAGCTGTACGTAGTTGTCTAAAAAAAAAGAATATAAAAAAAGAAAGAAACGTTACATAGAATAGTGAAAAGTGGTGTTGCTTAAAGGAAAGAGACTCCACGGTTATAAAGAACCGTCTTATTCTTAGTTAAAAAGTAACGCTAACAAAAGTAACGCGTATCATTGCGTTTTGGTTGGTGCGACTATCACCATCGTATAAAGGGGCTCAACTTCACAAAGT